TGTATAGCTATTAGAGCTGTTACAATATATCGGAAAATAGGTATATCGCAATACACGGGTATATCGTATTGTACCACAATACAGAGATGAAATATTGCTGTGTCGCAATATCTTTTTAAAAGCTTATTTTTATGTATCTCATTCTGCTTGGTAATTTAACTTTGCAAATTGCTACAAATTCTAACAGATATGCAAATAAGCATGACGCAGGCTTTTAATAGTGGTGGGAATTAGTTCAAATTTTGTAATCAATGGTTGGTTTGACAAAAATCTTAAATCTATGTGATCCATATGATTTGATAAAATTCTGACAACAACTTATCATAAAATCGAGCACATCTTCCCTATGACAATATATCCGGATACGTATCGCAATATATTCATTCCGTATTGCAATATATCGAGATACACTCTTGGCGTATTGTGACACCCCTTTTAGCTATCGTGTCAAGTCGTCCGTGTCTACAATTTCTCATATATATGACATAAGGTTGTAATTTCCTTTGCACAGAAAATGATTTATAATCCGTCCCCCTTCCTGACCTTGTTGTTACCTGTATCTATATTAATGTATTTTAAATACACATTTACTTTTAAATGACTCCAATTTTCAGAGTATGTCAATGAGTGTACACACTAAATGATATCTTACGTAATTACAAAATTATAAAACCTCATGTGACTTGGTTATTTCGAAATCTGAATATGTTATGAATATGTCGGAAATAGCTAAAAAAAATACCTGTATATGATATAATCAACTTGTACAATTCATATATATTATCAACAAAAAAAAGAAACAATAGAACACTTGATATGTTTAAAAAAAAAATAGGGTATTATCTGTTCGAAATTTATGGGACGAAGGCAAATCGTCACATCCGAGTGCTCTTACGGGCCTATCAATGCAGGTAGGGTACATGGGGAAATTATCAGGCCTAAAAATGGGCGTGTTTTCATTGACACGTTTCACCACTTCACAACCGCAGTGACAAGGCGGTGACCGTTGCTCATAGATGACATAGCCTTATAGAACGATTCTCACGAGACATTGCGACACGTCGTCTACCAGACCTCGGACGGTAAGGTATCGGCCAAACGAAAAACGAATGAATATCTATCCTATCAATAACACTTACTGTATACGTCTACCTATTAAAATGCCATTACCAATGTTTATAGGTAAACTACTGAAAACTTTGTTACATGTAAAGGTTCGTTTCTTGTAGACTATATTATATCGCCATATATTGGTATCAAAGATGATTTCACTCTACGTCAAATAAAAGTAAAGGACTTGCACAATATGCCAAAAATAAATAATACTGTAGCATGCAGCATTTTGCTCAAGGAAATTACGCATTCGTTTTGCTGAGAATTGTGTGCAAGGCTTTGCAGTCTAAAAGTCTTGTTATTAATGGCGTATTACTTGTACATGTGTTCTAACTTTGTGAATGATATAATATAAATGCTGTCGATTTAATGTTCTTAATCGTTTGATATACCTTGTAAATTCTGTGATTTATATTTAAATCATACTATTTAAATTTGAACCAAGATATACGTCATTAAAATCTAGATAACAAGAATATATATGATTCGTGTTCGTAATTATTTTTATTTTTTTCGAAAGCTTGTGTATTTAATTTCAAATCTTATGATATTTGTAAATCAATTTGAATATATCTTAACTAAATTTAGATAAGAAGCAACATGGTTTCGAATGTTAAACACAAGATTTATCAAATAAATATAATAATACACATTGCAAAACCGTTTACAAAAAATAATATTTTAACCATAAATCACAATATTCACTATATCATATCTAACAATCATCGGTGATAAATATAATTCCGTTTTGCATATGTATGCTCTCTATCTCTCTCTCTGACTTTATGGCTGCGTATAAGATGTAGATCAAGTAAAAGCTGGACAGCTTTATTGTTTCAAATTGAACTAAATAAGCATCGCACACCGAGATGTGAGAGTCGACATTTATATATATTACAATATTCATAACACAAATCACAGGACTTAATCAGGAAATGTTCAAATAGTGCGATGTTTGACACACCTAAGCTGAAAAGCTCACAGATCTATGCCAAGGTTCGACCTGACGATATTGACTGAAACCAAGGGACTGACTTCGCATATTAACCGGAGTAGGCTATCTAATGAATTATTCACAAATAAACTTGTCAAGATATTGAATCAGTAACAAGAGGCTCCTGGCCGCTGTGTAACCTCGTTTTACAACATTATTCGGGCTTATGCGTTATACGAAACAATTGTTACCTTCAACCATTTATGCTCAGAACTTTTAACACCATTTTCATATATATTTTTTTAAATTCACAATCAATATTCAATTGATGTACTAACAGTTTACTTTATACACAAACAATGTCCGGAACATATAAAAAGTGTCGTAATGTTTCAAGACCGACTTGTATCTTTGTAAATCTATGGGTGAAGATCTCTGTCATAGCTTAACAAAGGGACAAAATGGTCTTGAAACGTCCCGTCATGGTTGATACGCACTTTTCCTGTGTATTAAGTAAAGCAATGAAACATACCGTACATTTGTCCGGGTTGATTAATCTTATTGAAGTTATATGTCAGTAATTTACTTACTTGTTTAAGCTAACGCAAACCTCACTGGACGCACACACCAGATGATACAAGGGAAATGATAAAGCACAGCTTATATAAATACACAACACCCTCATGTGACTCGGGTCTTTCGAAATATGTTTAAAAGTAAACCAGCCTTGCGAAACCGGTATACAATATTTGATCAAGGTGGAACTGTGTCAGCCTTGAATTAGACATCAGGTCATACTTTTGTATAACTTTAAACTTAGATCCCAGACAATACCCCTTCTTCCCGTATGCCATCACAAGTGTACCTCTAAGATTAATAATACCTTTTCCAAATACATAATTTCCTTTTACAGCTCGAGATTCCTACATCGGCCAGTGGTAAGGTCACTACGTATCTGTTGTAAAAGTTTAAATTTGTCCAACAGTATTGTAGCGTAGCTTATTCATTTTCGTTGCAAAATGACATATTTATCAAAGCATTTGAAACCAAATATAAGCTACAGTTATAAGTACTAAAACTACGAAATAGTGTCTAAATACATTCCTGTATTTCATTGAAAATAGTATATAAAAAAAATATACTCTGGTGTATATGTACTTACCCGAATCGACAAGCAGTTGGAAAGGTCAGTGGGGGGGTCTTTTAACACATAAT